TTGTTTGTATACAGGGAACATTGGCTCCAGAGGCCCAGCCTACTTTCAAATCCAAACACCGTTTTTCTTCAAAGCAACATCAAGGTACCTTTCATAAAAATGAAGGGATGATGCAATACATACWTAGTGCATGAACAAGTCCTCGAGCTGCTCTGCTCAGAATTAGCTTAGGCAGTTACTTAAGAGCAGTTTGTTGTACAAACATCAGCCACAGTTTTGCAGCCATGCTTASGAACACAAGTGAATGACTGAAAAAGTACCAAATTTATCTAAATTGTATGGCTTTGCACTTCTGAGTACTAAAAAAGGTTAGAAACAATAAACTTATGAAATCTCACCACTTATGCTSTTCCTTTTGTTTCCAAGTGGTATTGCCTCTGAACAATCTTTAAGGGAGATAGTATCTGGTTGTACTTAGATCTATATCACAGGCATTAAAAAATTAATAAAAACACATCCAAGTTGCCTGAGAGGTTTGTTTTCAGGTTATTTAGTCCCACATTTTGCTTGAAGCAGGACTRTCTCCAGTTCCTGGATAGGATCACCATGGCTTTGCCTACTCCTGGCTCACAAATCTCCAGGGAGATGCCCCAACCTCTGGGGGGCACCGCTTCCACAGTGGGACTGAATGCTCTTGTGGAAATGCTCTCTGCTGTGGGCTTGGTATCCTGGAGATATGTGCATTTGATGGTGTCACTTGTGAGGCAAAATTTTTGGTAACTCTTCCCTATAAACACAATACAACAGAGCTAGCAGGAAGCAGTCATGAAACTCCCTGCAAATTCATTTCAACAGCTCTTTGCAACTTCCCTAACCCTTTTTATGCAACACTTGACAGGGAGATACATCTGATGTTTCTTTAAGGTATATGCTTTAAAACCAATACAAGGTCTCAGTAAAGATGGGGGACTATACAAAGGGATGCTGGTAACCTCCATCACCTTCTAAGTGTTTTCCATGAATTAACTTCTCTGCTTCTTGAGCCTACTCCATAATATCTCAGGAGCAGAGAACACAAATAACACTTCACACAGTATAGGTAATGTGGAGACCCTTTTGCCAGCATTACAGTGCTGAAAGTATGGTTCACATCTGAAAAGAGCCATGACCCATGATCCATTTCTAAAGCACCRTAATAAAAAACAATGCTCAATTCAAAAAAATGGCCATGACCAATGCAGAAGAAATACTCATGCCATCCATAGCAAGYATGACAAACCAAGCAATTAGATTATTTTTGAATCTCTCTTATAAAGTACTCCAGCAATGGGTAATGCCAGAGGATTCGGATTCGCCTGACTGACATCCTCACAGACACCACTGCCTCTTCAGACTACGAATCTCTGAGTGTTCTTTGCAGCCTTGCTTTGAAAAACCTTTTCCTGGTGAGCAGGCATTTACCMAGCTTTGTATGAGCAATCCAGGTCGCTGCTGAACACCCATCCATTGGAAGAGAGGAACGCAGGATCAAGTTGCGGGGGTTTTCCGTGCAACCTGCCCATAATTAGCCCCAAGCAGCTGCTGAGTCACTCCCAAGAGTCCCRGGTGCTATTAGGACCAGACACGCCATGGCCCAGTGTATAATTATACACCAGCCACTGCCGTGCGGAAACGGCTCCATTTACTATCTGACCCCATTAGACAGAAGCTGTTATTTCTTCTTGGCTACCAGGGCTGTGAGGAAGATGAGCCAAATTCTCACAGTCTCACAGTCCAAACTCATTCAYCCAAACTCACCTCTTTCTTGTTGAAAACGGCAGATGCCATCCTCTCTCCTGGTTCATCTGTGGGCTGCCCAAGAGTTCCCCTGTGGTCAGGAGGCAAACAGGTGTRTTGAGACACAGCAACTACTGGATACAAGGGACATAGAGATGAGTGCAGAAAGTCCAGGAAACACAACATGCCAAGTGTCTGTTTCATCAGAGAGCAATGATAAAAGAAGCATTGAAACTAGCCATGGAACTACAGAAATATAAGGAACACACTGTTTCTATAATAAAGATTTTTATTTGGACATTCTGCTTCCCATTCTCATAACTCAGATRAAAGAGTTCAAATGGGAAGCTGGTTACTGATAGCTACTGAACTTTTTATGTGCCTCCAGGATGACACAAGGAGAAAGTTTTCTGCAGAGAAGAAGAGAGCAGGCTCAGTTGGCCAAAACACACAAGAAATCACCCTGAGCTAGCAGAGATAYACTTGAGTTGCAGCTGGATTTTGCAGCTGCCTTTTCCTATCAAGGCATTAAGAGGAAACGCCTGGCTTCAGCAGCATCCGCAGGGTGGCATTCCCCTCTGGCACAGCTCCAGTGTTGGGCACAAAAATGAACCCACTCCCAGCTGATGAGCAACCAAAGCCCATTATTTCCTGCAGCTGGGATCTAACAGGCTACACACAGCACCTGAGCCACTGGAGGCCCTTTARCTGGTTTTCTGAGGAAAAGCTAAAAACAAGTCTGGGTCTTTGTGACCCCAGGTTGGTTGCTGGCTTATCAGACTGAGTTCAAGCGAGGTTTGCTAGGAGGGGTGTGTGATGCCCAGGCTRCTGCTGATGCTACAGTCCAGAGAAGAAATGCATGCTCCAACATCAAGCTCCTACTCTCACACCAGTGCTGCATGCCCTTCGAAAGACACAAATAACCTCAATGGCTCTGGTTTTTAAACAAGAACTGAAAAAAATTTGCTGAAAGGGACAGTGGAATGAGGGAAACAGGATGTCAAATTAGGATCAGCTTGAACCATTTCAAATAAACAACGAGGAAATAAAATGTACCCTGTTTGCTGGCAGGCTTCAAGGCTTACAAAGTACTCGCCCCACCCAAATCAAGGACTTGAAATGGAGCAGCAGTGGAACAGAAACACCGACAGTGTAAGATTTGCTGTTCCCTGGTACTGTGTTGCTGTCCTCAGGGACAGAAAAAGCATCATTAGGGTTTAACTAGCGTTTGATGAAAACATAGAGTACCCCAAGGATCAATTTTCACTTGGGCAGCTGTAGCATGAGGCATTAATTGTTCACCCCTGCTGTTGACAGGAGAAGCATGGGGAGCTGCAGACACAAATAACGTTAGACTTGTAGTGTGTATTTTACAATGAACTGCTTGCTTTAGTTCCTGTTGTTTAAAACTGCATTTAATCTTAAGTACTGCAAGAAAAACCTCCTGTATTTTGTACACGTTTAAAGGCCCATACTCAGCAAGTGGCAGAGTAGGTGCCAAATCTTGCTTCCTTTCTGATTTCTTGATGATTTAAGACCTATTTTCAGCAGCCARTACTGATTTCTCCCCTTGCCTTTTTGCTTGGTAAGTACCATTTTAACAAAACAGTGTTTGTATAGTGCCTTGGAACTAAGAATTGAACTTTTTAACATAAGAYAGGGAATAAGAAAAGTAGGACTAAAATCACCTACACAACACAGCTTTTCAAGGCACATGCTTAGCAATACATGACAGAACCCTCGAGTTCTGGCAGAATACTAGTCAGACTGCCAAATTTTTGTTTCCTACAAAGCTGAACTTATTTGCATGTTKCTGATATTTGTGTTTACCTTCCCCCAGAACAAAGTTTGAAATTAATCTCTGAATCTACAGAAATCAGTAAATTAAAGTATTTTAAAAAAACCTGCACTCTTGATGGACATTGTTCACATTTTACTGGCTTTCCCTGTGGGGGAAAAGCTATTGATACAAAATATAAATATGAAAAGACAGTGCCTGATCAATACTTCACTTAGGTGCGGGCTGCCTTCAGGAAAGGACAATACACTTTGCTCCTTCTAATTTGCTAACATGGAAATGAAATGAATTCAGTTTAAAAAACCGTACCCAGTGCCATCAGCATGATTATCTTCTCTGCTCTGGTAACAGCCTTTCCTCAGAATTCTTCTGTTGTGGAGAACACAACACTTGCCTTAGTAAATAAAAAAAACCATTTTCTACTTATTTTTACAGCAAATAACTATATTTAATGTAGGTCCACAAGATGTTGGCATAYACTTTGTTGCCTTGTTAAAAGAAAGACTTCAGTTTTGCTAAAAAAAAAAGCAGTAAGGATGAACCAAAATTGTCCCAGAAGTGGACAGACACCTGAAAAGAAAAAACTGAAAAGGAGATGATTTAAGGGATTTTCAGTAACATTTAAGAAATGTAACTTTTAGCTTTAATGAGTGTCACAATATATCAATTACAGAGACGTTAGCAATTTAAGGGACGAGTATTCACTGGCAGTTCAGTTTGGTCACAGCCTTCATTTGCTTCACAGGGCAGGGAACAGCACCCCATAATTAACATCGTGGTCATAACCTGTGTCCACAGCTTGTTACCTCCTTGCAGCACACCTTTCTCACAAAGCTATAAAGGTGAGAAACTCCTCTTCTCCACTGACAAAGGACTTGCCCCTTCATCTCCACRTATCACTGCTGCACAGATGGAGTACTAGAAATGTATTTCAGACCTGCACTGGTGACCCTCAAATGCTGCCACAGGTTTCCACTGTCTGCTGCTTCTCTGGTTAAGGATACTGACACAGCTGCAGTCCCTACTCATCACTTACACAGGTTTCTGAGCTCTGCTAAATCCCCAGCCTTGTATTAGGGGGCACTCCTCAATGAAGAGCACTCAAGATATAATGCTCCCTTTTCCTAGGTAAGAAGTCTCTGTGTATGCAAAACTACAYGAGTCTTAAAAGTACTGCATTTCATGGCTAAATCTCATGCACTGACTGATCCAACAAAGATACTTACTGCTGTAGGYTCCAGACAGGATGAGAGAAGGGGAACATACAGAGAAACACGTCTAGGAAGGGTTTAAACATGCACAGAAGATCCGTGTGAACTCCAGCAATGATCACTTCTCAAAACTGACTCAAGTCTATTCTCTTTATGAATGGGAGGATGTTCGAGGACAGTGACAATACCAAAATGTGCTGATTCAGCAAATGAAAAACATCAATCAACAAAGTAGGGACCAGCACAATGGAAAAATCAATGAAGACCAAACAATGCATGGTATAGTTAACTTTTATTTATTCTTCCAGCTGTTTGTCCAGTCTTTCCAGCAAGTTTATAGAATGCCAGACTCAGAATCCSTAAGATTTGGTATTACTTCTAGCACAGTGGATTATGTATGTAGATGAATGAAGGCTTGACTAAGGTTGTGAATTAAGGACCTTTGGAAAACTGCAATAGCAGGGCGTACTTGAGACTTACTGCATTCTTTCAGTTAAAACTGTGACAGAGTAGAGTTCAGTCTTTTCAGTACATTTGCAACATTGCTATTTTTCTCCTACATTTTGTGGTTCTCATAAACCAAGGAAAATAGCCTAGGTCTGACTGCTCCCTTCAATTGCAAATATCACATAATAGGGAAGGAAGTGCTGAGAGTCTCAGCACTGTTAAAACTGGCCACAATGGAAATTATAATAAAACAGGAGATAACAGAAATAACTCCAACTCATTAGATCCCAACTTTTGTGGCTGACTTAAATGCCTTCAACGAATACTTGGTTCGATATAAAATTGTTCAAGCTATCCCTCTCTTCTGGTGTAGTATTTATATGGCAATTCTTCTGAAGAGAAACCTTAACTCATTTCAGTGTCTCTCCTCTCAATACCCCATTTGGAGTGCTAACATTCCCAATACTTCTCCTGAGCACTMTTAGAAAAGGATCCATAAAATACTGTGTAGGTCAAAGAGTGCAGGGTGGCCTTAAAATAAAGAAAATGTTCAGTAAGTGTAACCAAAATGCCTTTTCTTCTAATCTAAAAACTGACAGGCTTGCAGACTTCATCTTAAACACAAACTCTGCAGTTTTTCACCTTCTCTACTTTTTTTTTTTTTAAATACTACCAATTGTAGCATGATGTTCAAATTAGACTGAAACTGTTAATTTGTTTATATGTATGTTATTGAAAAAGTTGGCGAAACTAATGAATTTAAGTCAATGAATTGCTGGTTTAGGCTATTTGTATCCTCTACGTACTTTCTCACATGGCTTCTGAAACTCTTAGTCCTTTAAAAATAAAGCAGTTCATTGTCCAAAATGACTAGGACTGAGGTGAAGAATGCATTTTTGTTTGAAAATAAATCTAAATTTTGACAAGTSGACCTCTTTGCAAAGTATTTTGCAATTGCTAGCCTTTGAATCATGGTAACTCCTGAAAAGATAAAAAAAAAATAGTGGTGTCACTTGGGCAATCAGGTATATAAAAGTACACACTGTGTGATCTGTGGGTGAGCACATCACTTGTAATGATGSGGCAATCACTACAACACTGAATCAAAGTCATATAATGTAAGATTCCAGAAATGTACTGACACCATTCAAGGGTTTGGTTTACACCTTTTGAAGATGGCTAGAGATCGTTTCTATCAGATTTCGAACACTATGAGAACAAATGTTTTTCATTAGCCACCCTCCTTCTCCCACCCCATTAGCAAGGTTGACTTACTCTTGTATATGTGTCTGTGGCTTTGGCTTTTACCTGAAGAAACAGAGATGTGAGATCATCCCAGTATACTAAACAATGTGTGTTCTTGGTCGCTTGAGGTTGTTCAGTTATGATTTTGCTGTTCACATAAAACCATTACTTTCTGCGAGTGCTCCAAGCAAGCAAAAGCCTCATGTAATGTCTCCACAGAGGGATTCAGGCTCAGACCTCTGGAAATGCTGACAGTGCTCAGATAATGCACTGAGAGTCACAAARGGATGGGTCACAGGACAGAATATGATCTTCTGCAGACTTACAATAAGGCTTCCGATTTTGTTTGCAGCTTAATTTTCAGCCAATAACTTCAGTATTAAACATAAATTAAATTTTAGCCACAAACTAGCTAAAAAATACTTGTAGTTTCTAGAGGTGAATTATTTGTATAATTCTTAAGTATTAAATGTCACTACTCAAAATCTATCTGTATTTCCTAGGTGAATATAAGCCCTGAAAAGCACTGTTTTTCAAGTGAAATAGTAAGTTGTAGACAGGGTAGGAGAACACTGTCAATCAAGTAGTATGATGAGATTTCATTGCATGTAGTGCTATAGTGAATAATTTAAAATTAAATGTTTTCCACTTCCACTGTATCATCTGCATACTATTCATTTAGTTCCTTTTATTTAGCAGAAGTAGCACAYATTTTCCAGATGTCATTTATAAGCAACATACTCTTTTAATTTTATTCCTTACTGGAAAGTACCTTGGTCTATTCACAAATAAACTGGGGAAGTGACATKGTGACCATTAGTCCCAACTGATGTGCCTGACACAAGCAGGAAAGAAAGGATGAATAGGTGGAATTTTGCATTTGGCATTTCAGAATTAGGGGAGGTAATGTTTCCAGTTATATACACTTAAAATTATTTCTGAGAAGGTATGTTGAACTTTAGCATTAAGCTAAATACCTACAATCCTACATTATTTCTTCAGTTATTTTCCAAGATATCATTCATTCCTTGTTGAAAGTTTAGCTCTTAGCAGTATTTATTTTATTTGGAAAAATTACAGTCTATGAAAGAGCTTTATTTTGTTAAACTGATTTATATAACTAGTTACTTGCATGTTGGTACTAATGAAGTCAAATTTTTTTGTAATGGCAAGGGGTGCTCATTAGGACATYACCAAAATTGTACAACTGGAAATAAAAACAAAGCATAAAAACCTAACATTTCACATAAGATGAGCTTCCAACAGAAGTATGAGAAAACCACCAAACCTCAAACACCTTGCCATATTAACTTCAGACCAACTAGAAAGGCACTGAGAATTGAAGTGTGCAGCTCATATCCATACCTGTAAGAGTAACAACCACAGTGAGACGCAAACCTCCAAGGCAGAATATGGCACTGTACAGTCCATGAGGCATTCCCGGTACATACAGCAGTTTTATGTTTTCTTAGGATAACCTAAAAATGTTAACTAAATATACACATTACATCATATTTCTGTGGGGGAAAAGTCCAATCTAGACCATCTCAAGATAAGGAAACAAGGTGTAACATACAGGACATYGTTGGCACAAGAAAGTGTTATCATATCAATACACGCGCTTTTAAATGTAATCAAATAGATACATAAAGGAATGGTGGTGGCAGAGACAAAGGGAAGGACTATTACCAARTATTTAGTTCTAAGCATGCTAGAAGAAGGTCTTTGTTTCAAAAAACTGAAGCTACCAACACCACTTCAGAGGCAAGAGAGCACCTGTCAAGACAGTCCAACCCATTTCAAGGCATTCTTCTGGGCTGACATCTGCAGACTGAAGGATCTGTCCAGTATAGTTTCTGTGCCCAAAGCTGCCTAAAGCTTCCCATTAGCAAATGCTGCCTCCTGGAACTGAGGGACAAATGTCTTGAAATACGTCCTAGTGAAAAGAACAGAAAATACATTATTAGGAAGGAGTAATCTTAAAAACATGATTTGAGGCATTTGATGTTTCCCACATTTCCTTTTTCCCCTCTGTGGAAGAAGCTTCACATATGATACCAAGGACCCAAAGACAGACAAGACAATGGAGCAGGAAAATTGTGAAGAGAAGTCTGAATACGTGCAGGAGATAAGGTCTGTCTGCTAACAGAAACCTTGACACAATACTGTCACTGTTGATGGCAGCAGTTTACATAAGATGTAGTGAATAAATACTAACAATATTGGATGAACTGTTAATTCCTTTTATTGATCTTCAAAAGTTATAGGACAATGTTCTTTTTTAAGGTGTGCTTTGCATAGTTTGGATCTTAATCTATCTTCTTTACAAAGGATCAAGTGACTCATAAATCTGTAAAATAAGCTAACCCCACCTATCCAAAATAGAGTTTAGAATCGCACCTTGGAGCTTTTTGTGCTGAGATACTCAACCATGTAATAAGTGTATTTTATGTGTCCCAGGGATGCCCTTTATTTGCCAGTTATATTAGAATGCTTCATCATTGTTGGAGGTTAAGATTTTTTTCATTTGTTTTAGGGATTTTGTCCTGTCTGTTCCTAAGAAACAGTAAAGACCAGTACTTAAGAAAAGACAAAAGGACTATCCCAGCTCTGGGAGAAGGGTGCAGCTGGCCATCCCCTTTTCTGGAGGGTTTCTCTTGGAGGGGTGGAGACACTGTGAGATTTGGCTGGGGAAAAAGGGGCTGGGCGCAGCTCCTGGCTCTCTTGCTTTCTGGGCCTTTGGATGGGGGACAGGCTGTGGTCACTGCGGGAAGAATCCAGCAYCACTGCAAAGTTCCATCTACTTTTCTTCTCCTACCGTGAGTGAAGCTCTGCTCGTAAGAATGGCCATTGAATTRAGACCTTATTAACACCCTACCTCACTAGGAAGGACTTCCACCATCTAYTCAGGTGCCGCAAGGGAAAACACGGGACCCTTCTCCCCATCCCCGTCTAAGGGAGCCTCTCCCAGTTTGGAAGTCGGGCTGTCGCTGCTTTGCCTGGCCAGCCATTTTCCTGCCGCTGTTCTGTGTTTCTGCTACACTGTAATCCCGCAGCCCCACCCGCTGACACACAGCACAGCTCCTGCCACAGCTGCTGATCTGTCATCTCTTGTTTGCTACCCCTGCCAYTGCAGCCAGCGCTCTGAGGTTCCCGCTGCAGGCCATTCCGCCATCACCGTGTGAGGGAGAGAGGCGGCTGAAGCCGCGCCACMGCGCCCCCTGCCGGCGGGGAGGAATCACCGCCCCACCCCGCCCCGCCTGGCGCCCCCAGCGCCCCTGCCGGCCGTGAGCGGAACTGCAACACAGGGGAGAGGGGGGACAGTCCGGAATGGGCTGGCACTGGGGTTCCCGTTTGCTTGTTGTGGCTGCTGTTGTTGCTTCTGTTGTTGCTTTTTGTTTGCCTTGTTATACATATAGTAAACAACTGTTATTCCCTTTTTCTGATATCTTTGCCTGAAAGCCCTTTAATTGCAAAGTTGTAATAGTTTGGAAGCAAGGGGGTCATATTCTCCATTCTAAGGGAGTTCTGCAAGCCTTCCTTGGCAGACACCTGTCTTTCAAAGTAAGACAATAATTCTGTCTTTAGTTTCTCCCTACTGCATTTTGCACAAACTTTCACTTTCTCTCTCTCTCTCTCTTTTTTTTATATTTTATTTTCTGATTGTATCACTGGTCTCTTAGAAATTTGTCTCTTCACCAAAAAGAAATCTAAAGTGAGAATAACTTCAATATCACTTACTAGATTCCTGACCTCTCTGCTGGTTTAACTGCTGAAGCAAACACACACCAATCAGCATCACAATCATGATGAGTTTCATAACTGCAGTAGAAGCTTTGGCAATCACTGAACAACAGTCATACTTCCTCACGCCTAAAAACTATGCAAGACCACAAAGAGAATGCTTCTCTCTTTGTGAGGTTGTGCCTGGCAAATTAATTAACARATAGCTGCAGTCAGCTTTTGTGCACAAGCTGTAAACACACACAAGATGCTGTCCAAAGGTTAAAAGAGCAATGGAAAGTAAAAGCATTTCTGGACTGAGTAGCTGATCCCAGAAATGGAAAACAGAAAGAGGACAACCAGCWCCCACATTTTATAGCATATAGAGATTGTGCTGTGTATTTACAGAACATACTTTGGTTTATTGAAGCAAAGTTCAGAAAACAACCCTCATAATCATGCCCACAAAACTGCTTGTTCATGCTGGCACACACTTGTACATGAACCAGCTGAGAAGGTCTGCCTGTCCCCTGATCRCAACAGTTGAATGCCATTTCTGTATCTGTGCTTTTTCTACCATACCTTTGACATTCTATAAGTCCTGGTCAGTTCTGTGTATTTTGCTAGCTCAAGGACATGCTATCACCTGCATGTTGTCAAGGTCAGGATCTATCATCCTTTTACTTTTCCATGCTTTATCTATCCTAACATTTAATTATGCATCTCTGCTTGCTTATTTTAAATAGCTTCTCCCTTCCCCTTTGATAGTTTCTCTGCACACTCTCTTCCATGCACATGATCTTAACTGACTTGATAAATGACACTTAAAAACTTCCCTCTTCCAAAACTGTAAGAATTCTTAATTGTTAAATGGGATACAATCAGAATTATTTTCCTACATTTTATTTCTTTTCCTTTATAGCATTTCTGCGCTTTCTATTAAACTCACACTTACTGCATTATATGCAGTAATTATATATGCCTTTTCTGTTAGGTAAATTCCAGAACAAATGTTTCTGATACCACAAACACCCTCCCACACCAACTCCRTCTACACTTGCATCCTTTCTTTTCACTGATTCCCGCAGTAGAGCTTGTATCCTTTGCTAAAAAACTAAGTCTAACACTTCTCGATATTCTGATCAGATGTACTGTTTCAAAGAGGATGCTATTTTGCTGGTAGTTCATATGAACCTCTTGGCAATGTTCCATATACTACAAATATTCCTTTAGTATTTCATCCTTTTAAATGTACTTTTTTTCTTTTTATACCTTAAAGTACAGCCTCAAAGTTGCCCTCAACATTAATGGTCTTCTCTAGACAGAGGCAAATGCAGTACCACAAATGTACTCAGGATACCTTCCTCCATTTCTGCTCCTCTTCCATGCACCTTTGGTATGTCATATGAAACAAAATCAGAGATAATTATGATTCATCACACACACAAAMAATAAATTAACACCTTAACGCCCTTAACTCCCCCAAACCAGAACAAAAAAGGCCCTTTGAACAGATCCAAAAGACCAACATATTTGATAGGACTGTATCAGCTACACCACACTCAGCAGATTGGGAAGGAAAGATGAAGTAGGATAAGGTAAGTGAAGCTCCTTAAGAAACACTGGGAATTCTTTTCTGATTTTTTTTCTTTTCATTCAAAGTTTTGGGCAAAACCATGTGTTAAAATACTTCAATTTCTGTGAAATGGAAATTCCAAWGTTTTTTGTCTTCTGCAGAGATTATTAATAAGGARGAAAAGTCACTGGAGTGAGTTTCAKCTATCAACCATCTGWCATGGAAGTCAAAGTGTACATGTTTCTACATAAACAGGACCATGACATGAACTATTATGTCACAACAGATGACATGAAATAACTTCAAGAGAAATATAAGAAATAATTTTTTTTTCAAAGACAATATTCTGCCATAGACTGCATGGTAAAGGCCTCTTTCACATGAAATGCTATTCCTTTTAGAAAAATTTTAAACCAAGGGACAACACTCATACTCCAGCATCCTGCACATACAGGCACAGAGAAACAGTRAATATAAACATGAACTTTGGAAAAAGATACATTCCTCATACCCTATTCATATTAACACATTCACATGAATTTACACCCTCAATAACTATGATCTGTGCTATACCACAGGAATAATATAAATACATGATTATTTTTCCAGAAACTTTGCCACATGATATTATCAAGTTATGTTCWAACTATTTTGAAATTATTACCTTTATATACACTATATATGCTTTTCAGCTCTGAAGAACCGTTATTAAAAAAAACCACACAACACTAATTTGGGTACTGAAGATGACTGATGAAGATGAAGAAAGCTAACTTGACTTATGGTCTCTCAAAGCTATGTCAAATGGCAGAAACCACCTTTTGAAAAAGGCCTTTTCTCCTTTCCTGGAAAATGGAGATCCTTCTTTCTCCTGCTTTCACCAACCATGTCCTTGGTGGGTCTGTGGCACACTGACCTTTCACCAAGGTCAGAACATCTGCATAAATTCTCCTTTAAGTACAAAGAAACTCATTTGTACAAAGTCCAAATATATTCTTCGCATGAGTGTTGAGTACGATAAACACTCATGTAAAGTAAAACACTTGTTGAGTGTTAGATCCTTCTCTCAAAGGTTTAGATCTCAGCTTAAACAGTATTTAAAGAGCTGCTTTCTTTTCAGCCTAGAGTGGTTGTCAATCTTCATACACTTATGGGTGGACACATGTTTAACTCTTTAAGAGTCCGTTGTTTTTGTTCCCTCAAACGGTCATTTTCCAAATTCAAGGTAGTAAGTTATGAGGTTTCTATGGAAATTTTTCTTCATCACTCCAGAAAACAACACATTTTGCTGTAGTTAACCACTATATATACTTGACACAGTACAATGAATTSCAGGTGCTACGCTCAAGGACATCTWCTGAGAGTAAAGCACTTCTCTTTCCTTCACCTTATTATCCAGTGGAAAGAAAGTCTTGCTATTATTACAAGTGGTAAGTATCTAAAAGAAGGTAGAATTGGTTCATCTGCTGTTTATATACTTTCTAGTGATATGAAACGTTGAGTATGGTACAAGGTCTCCAGAAGCCTGTACATGTTTAAATCTCAGGGTGTGGATTTGCTGTGCTTAAAACATACTTGACTCAGAATTCACATGCTTTTGTGAAATTTCATTCTAATTGTACTGTTTTTTTTCCCCA